TCTTTCCTTCTTTGACTGATTAGTTCTGAGAAAGGGAGCAGGACATGGGTGAGGTTGGAGTGTGTGTGCCCGGGGCTCTGTTTTGTGCAGCTGGCTTGTAAGTGGCATGCTCTAGACTTCCTAAGACAAAGTAAATGTTGTGGGTGTTTTTGAAGAAGTTAATGTAATTGATACCCATTCATGACTATGTCTTATTGCAGGAAAAATGATTTAACTTTCATTGCTGGTGATTCAAATGAAAACCTAAAGGTTCCAAAGTTTGTATAAGAAGAAAAGTCTTATTACTTCTTAGTTACTTAGCAGAAATTGTGTCACAAAGATTCTAGGCTACACCAGTGGTTTCTGGTGGCATTTAATGTCAGGTTGGTCATCTGTTTTGGAAACTTGAGATACAGAAGGGTACATTAAAGTAATGGACTTGTCTGTATGATGGTGACCAAAAGATTTCCAAACAGCAATCCTTCTTCCAGGCACGTACCTAAAATAGAAACTTGGAAGAAATGAAGTCTAGAATAGAATCATAGAATCTCAGAATGGTTTGGGTTGGAAGGGACCTTTGAAGATCACCAAGTCCAACTCCCCTGCCATGGGCAGGGACATCTTTCACTAGATCGAGCTGCTCAAAGCCCCATCCAACCTGACCTTGAACACTTCCGATGATGAGGCTTCCACAACTTCTCTGGGCAACCTGTTCCAGTGCCTCACCACCTTCATCATAAAAAAAAACCCACCCCAAACACTAATCTAAATCTTCCCTCTTTCAGTTTAAAACCATTGCCCCTTGTCCTGTAACTACAGGCCCTGGTAAAAAGTCTCTCTCTGTTTTTCTTATAACTTATGTTTGTCCTGTGGAGGGTTTTTTTTTAAATAAACTTGTTCCTCTTATGGTTGGAATTCTGTACTGGTGAAAGGTCTTCAGCATGAAGAAGCAAAAGAAAGAGGTTACTGTCTCACTGCAAAGACATTGTGTGAGCAGCAGAAGCTTCCTTACATTGCTGTGCCTGCCCCCATCCCCCTAGGACTTTGCGATTAGTTTGCTTTCCAGTCTTGTTTCATGGTTATTCTGGTCACCCCGGTGGTATTGTGAGCATTTGAGACTTCTTGACTGTCTGACAAAAGGTGCCAGAAAGGCAGCGACTTTCTGCTTTTGCTGGCCAAACTCCATTGGTTGTTAATTTTGAAGTAAGTTTGTAATTTCCAAATCTGGTGATCAGTCCTGCTAATGTTACTGGGCTACTTGTGTCTGTTAGCAGACTTGCAAACTCTAACCTGGTTTTTGAAAAGGGAATATCTTAGTGAATGGTCTTTGTGCTTTATTGAGAGATGCTTCTAGAACATCTGAAAACAATGGTGTTTTAGTAGCCCGTGGCTTGTATGGGAAGTGATAACTTTGTAGTTGCATTCCATTTGATTTGGTGCTAAGTTAAAAATTCAGGTAACATGCAGGCATGGGAAGAGAAATTATTCTTAATTTGGAGACCAGTTCTTCACACTGTGTAAGAATGACTTGCAGTTTCTTCTTGTATTTTGGTGCTTGCTGCACAAGGTGTTCATTGAATGCCCGGGCTGGCAGCTTGCCCCTGTTGAAAGGGGGACTCACTCCTTGCTGCTTTTCCTTCTGACTATGTGGGCATGCCTCCTCTGTCGCTCTGCCTTTGGTATTTGTTGGGCTTTTTGGTAGAAGATGCATCTTTCACTGGTTAGTTCCGTGCTGGGTTGTTGAGGGAAGCCACCTTGCAGGAGTGATCAGTGAATGCTAGAGCTGGTGTCTGGTAATCGACAGGAGTGGAAGTGAAGGAGGAGCCCAGGGCATTAGATCCCCTCTTCAGCAGCAACCCATTAAATTTACTCAAGTCTGGCGACTTCATTACACCTTGATACTGTGTTGGTAAAGATGTTGAAAGAATTAGCTTAAATTGCTGTTCCCTCTGTGTCTAGTAATGGTATCACACAGAGCACTCTATGATGTAGGTTGTGAAATAGCCACTGCAGGTAAAATGCTATTTATCTGTCCCTGGGATGAGCCCAGGTTATCTGTCCAAAATAATGGTTCCTGAACCCATCTCTTTACTGTGGAAACTAGCTCTGCATGTAGGGCCTTCTGTCTTAGCTGCGTAGTGTGGCTGTGCTTTGTTTCCTCTTGTGTTAACATTTTGGGTTTCTCCAAGGTGACGGGCTATTTTCTGCTGCTGATTGTACTCTATTAAGAACAATGTCTTCTCAGAATTTAGGAAGACAAAATCAGGCCCAGGTGGTAACTTAGGTGACTTACAAAATGAAAACTGGAATCCACTCTGTGTGCCAGGCAGATGCCTTCTGGCTCCTCCTCAGCTGATGTGTTTGATTGAACATCCTGATGGCCTTTTTAATGCATTTGGTTTGAGGGACTGCAGTTCTGCCAGCGCTGCTCCCCAGGGGGCAGGGTAGGGAAGACTGTGACCTTCCTCTAGATGGGTGTTCTTGTACATTACAGTTAACACATTTGTAACTAAAACACCCTCAGTAACTTACAACAAACTTTTGGTAACTAGTCCCCTGTAAATATTGGCAATTCTTTTGTGCTGCCATTTTCCTTTCCAAGTGGTTGCCAGTATGGTGGTAGCATCCCTTGGAAGCATAAGTGGTACTGAGTGATTCAGGATGCTATACGTACCGTGAATTCACTGAATATGTGCTTATGGTTATTTAGAGATAATTCAGCAGCCCTGTCTGTGTTCTGACTTATATATGGAGGAAATATTAATTAAACTAAAAAAAATGTTATGCTAGGTACTTAATTTTTTAAGCTGTTGCTGATCCCTGGTTGGTCTGTTGCACAAGAATGTGATGATATTTTTTGTTTTGTTTTGTCTGGCAGTCTTAGGCTTGTTTTATGCAAGTTCCGTTGAGACCAGGGATAATTTCTGGGTATTAGGCAACATGCTGAGATGTAACTGGAGACTGTGGCTTATGAACACTTCAGGTATGGGTCCTGTGCTGAGACTGCTAATTGCATTTGCTATCATATGCAGGATGTCTTCTGTCAGAGGAACTCCTGATCCCTCCAGCACTGAGAGAAATGAAGTTAGCAGGGGATGCTGAGGCTCTTACTTCAGGCTCACCTGCACTCCCAGGTGAGGAGAGAGGTGGTTTCTCTGCAGACCTACGGTAAATTACTTGTGGTGCACTCCATTCCTTTTTCTGTCAAACGTACCTGGTGTGCATATTGTAGCTTGTAGCCATATGAAGGTTTTTGTGTGGAGCTCATTAGCATCCCCTAGCCCAACATAACTGGAATCTTGTTCTGCAAATACTACTGCTGTTTTTGTAAAAATAGCAAGGAACGAGAAGAGGTTGCTCAGTAGAGTTGTGACATTTCTGTCCTTAATGTTTTTAAGGACACCTTAAGCAAACATCTCCCAAGCATGAATTAAAAGCAAATTAATACATTATGGCTAGCCCAGTGAGGTTTTCCCTTACCATGCTGCCTGTTATGCATATTTACATTGCTTCAGTATTTGTCAAGAAAGGTGTTTCACAAAGCAAAAGCTGAGGCCTTTACACTGAAGAGTCTAGGATATAGTTTACCTGGCAGCAGTGTAAGAAGGAGACCAAAGTTATGTGGCAGACAGAGTCTTGCAAGATAGGTCCAGCGTGAAGAGTGTCCTTTTTGTCTCCATATGGTTTGAAGTGAAAACTTGGCGGTGTTTTTTTGTTTGTTTGTTTGTTTGTTTTTTATTAGAGCTGGTGCACATCTTCAGCAGAGAAGCATAGGGAGAAGCTGAGAAAGCTCCTGTGAGAGAGAACAGTGGTGAAATTTGTGCTGCTGTGCCGATCTTCTGTTGCCCTCCAAACACAGGAAACATAAGCATGTATTAGGCAGCTTGAAAGGCTTGTTTATCCCTGTATAATTTTTTGGATAAGGTCACTTTTCAGGCAGAAAACTACTTATCTGAAAAATATCAAGGTATTTATCTTTCTGGGACAGCATGCAGAGGAAGGATGGATGTTTGGAGCCTGAGACTTTAAAGCAATAGGTTTTGTCACATCTCTCTCCTCAGTATTTTCTGGTGACTGACTTACATCCTCTGTTCGTTCCCTTACCTCACTGTATGCTGCTACTTCTATTTGATGTCTAGGAAATTTAGCTAATAGCATGTGTTAGTGAATTTTCTTCCTGTAATTCTCTAGGCATTGCAATGCTTCAATCCTTTTTAATTTTGCACCTATGCCCTACTAGGAGGATCTGCTTATGCAGCACTTGGTAGTATTGCTGAGAGTATAGGGCTCTTACAGAATTTACAGTGTCCAGGTTTGTGGATGGACCCTATGCTTAGTGTTCATAACAGGGTTAAAATGAGCATGTTGGGCAGAAAGAAATACCAAGAATGATAATGTGAATGCTTGTCTGCCTGGTTTTTGGTTTTTTTTGTTTGTTTGGTTTGTTTTGTTTGTTTTTTGTTTGGTTAAGTGCTATCCAAACAATATACTCAATTCCAGTTGGACAAGTGTTCGGGACTGTGGATACTCAGTTGTTTACCTTTTTTACCCACCCCCCTTTTCAAGGTGTTCCACATCGTGTGGTATAGTGTGTATATTGGCGATAGAACGAGCGTGTCTGCCTAGACTATTAGCCTGGTCTCCTCTTTTCTGGGTGAGTACCATTGAGCTCCAATTTCTGCTGAGCTGTATAGTCAATAGCTGTGACTCCTGCCTGAATCTTACAGCTCCTCAGGCATATATGGCTCACCCCCACCATCTTGACGCGTGAATAAGCTTTGTTGGTCATCACAAGTCACCTGCAGGTTCTCCTTCCTTTACCTTCAAGGAGCTGTGACAGCTCTCTAGCTGGCCTGTACAGCAGCTTGGGGTGCAGCTACCCTTTGGATAACACTAGAAGATGCGCTGAGGAAAAATAACCACGTGGAGTTAACCATATCCTGGCTTATAGACTTGCCACACACTTTGATGGGGAGTATCTGCGTGTTGGCCAGTGTACCTTGAAATCACTGCTAACCAGTCTAAGTGAAATGCAAATGAAACTAATTATTTATAACATCCAAAATATATAGCATAATTATAAATGTTTGTAGAAGGTATGATGTCTTTATGCCAAGAGGAGACTGGAAATTGGATGCATCTGACTGATAAGGTATAGGAGCTAGTGTGCTCTACTGGAATGTCACTGATAAATCTTTCTAGGACAAGGCTAAGCATATGTTGGGAAAGCACTTAACAGCACACCTGTGGTTTGTGGTTTTTTTGTTTGCGGGTTGGTTTTTTTTTTTTTTGAGTCCATGAAGGACTCCTGGCTTCTAAACCTGGATAGATTTCCCCCCAGCCCCTTCTCCCTCTATACTTCATGTTTGTGTAGTTTTATTCAGCATTGCTCATAAGTTAGGACTTGCTCATAAGACTTGGTTGAGTCTGTGACTGAAAGGCCAGTGAAATTTCTCTTCCTGCCTTCTCTGTTTGGTGTGTATGTGGGTATCCTTCCCTGATGTGCCTCCCTCTTTTGAACGTGATGTTTTATATCAATTAAAATTGCATGAAAAGGAATATTCCTGTTAGAAACATGTGGCTAGGATGTATCCAAGTGTGTGTATATAGGTATTTGGAGTGCTTCTTCTCCAAGACTGCTCCAGTAGGGATTCTGCAACAGTGTTATTCAATGCACTGAAGTCTGAAAGGTTAAGTCTCCCCTGTGTAGACTGGATAGGGATGAGAAAGAGAGTGGGACTTAAGGAAAGCCCCCTCCTGGTGCCATTTGGTTCTCTCCTCTTTAGCTGGCCACTGTGATACCTACTGCTCCTTTCACTTTTGCTGTATTCTTGCAGATGCTAATAACATGAAGTATTTGTGTTTAGTAGACAGGAACTGCTATGTTAGATGTTGGATGCTTGGACATAGAGAATCAAGAAGATTGTGACTGGGATGTGTCTGTCACACAGGGACTACGGTGTTTGTCAATGAGAGAAGGGATGGGAGCTTGGAGTGGTGACTGAGGTCCTGAGCACAACTCTTGACTCATGGACAGAAAATTTTAGTGTCTAGTTACTATGGCAATGAGCAATATAGAGGTGTTCAGATAGAGAGAAACAGGAAAAGGCCATGGGTGCTGAAAGAAAATAGCTGACTCTTCTTAATGAGAAGTGTCTGGCATTTTGGAGGAAAGGATGAGTGGTAATTACATATTTGAAACAGCATTTTAATGAGGAATCTCTCTGCTTATAAATATAACTAATTTCTCTGTTGCCAGCATCAATGGTCACTTCAGTTCTGAAGGAGTCTTACTATCCTGTCTTCTGGTGTTGAAAATATGAAATAAACCATAAGAAGAAAATGAACTACATGTGCCAAATGTCACTTTGCCGTTACCTCTGGGACAGGTCTGCTGTTAGGTATCTCTCAACAGAAAGCAGGAAAGAAAGAAGTCTAAAATGCTTCTGAGATATTCCCTGCATCCCCACAACTCCTACCTCCATCCTTAAAAAAAAAAAAATAAATCCCAACCTCAAAGTGTTTTGCCTGAAGTCTCTATTCTAGAGCCCTGTAGCTTGACAGGTTTTCTTCCAGGTGCCTTCCCAGCAAAGCTCAGTGAACTGTACACTTCCCAGTGGGCACGTGGCTGACTGACAGAAAGCATCGGCCAAATGCACAATGCTGTTTAAATCACATCCATCCCCAGTACTGAGTTGTAGTTGTGTGTGGTGAGAGGACATTTATTTTAAAAATTTTTTTTTTTTTTGTTCTCCTGCACTGTAAATGAAAGGCTGAAGATACACCAACAGGCTCACTTGCCAGCTTTTTTTGTTTTGCCAAATTATATCTACCAATATATGCCTTAACTTTGTGTACTGTTCGCGTTAAAATATTTTCATGTATATGTTTGTATGTGTGCATATACTATACATACATGCTATATATAGTATGTATATACTATACCCACAAATTATGTGTATATATAGTCTGTGTTTTCTGTACATACAAACTGTAAATGTATAGTTTACTTTGTGTGATTCTGCTTGCCTCCCTGTTAATGTTATTTTGCTTGACTGGTGGCTGTTTCTGGAATCCTTGTGTCTTGCTGCTAGACCAGCAGCAGTGTTGCAAAGGATTGCTTTTGAAAAACAAATCTTTCTGTTTGATCTTAGGCTTTATAGGAGTTAATAAGTTTATCCAAGTCCAGAAGATTATTTGGTTTTAGGCCAATCAATTTATTGAGAAAGATTATGATTAACCAACAGGCACGGTGGAAATTATTACACTCTTAAGTCCTAGTTCTTGATTATTTTTTTTTTTCTTCCGTATGGCTGCTGATTCAGTTAAGTAACCATGGTCAAGGTAAAGGATGAGTGCATACTTCTGTACCTACTGCCTTTCTGCATTTAACTGCATTTTCTATAACATCACCTCATTCAAAAGCTCTGCTCTTGTCTTTATTTCCCTCCCCAGACACTGTTAGCAGAATAAAAAGCAGATTCCAGAAAGTTGTCTGTGTAGATAATACCCCCCTTTTATAATTAAGGGTTTGACTTACTAAAATTATATAAAGATAAAAAGGTTATTAACATAGAAGTGAAAAAAAAGTCTAGTCAAGCCCTAAACCTTGTTATCAAAGCAGCGTGGTGGGAGCTTAGCTTAACCATGTTCTCTCTGTATAATTGTGAGATCAACAACCAAGCAATAAAGCACAGGTCAGTAATCTCATTGTTATAAAACCTTCAAGTTTAGAACCAAATTTGATCTGCCTTTATTTCTTTCTTAGGGCAGTTTAACAAGAAGGAAAATGGGAGTTTAGTGGTTCATTTGGCTTGAACAGTGAGGTTTGACATACTGAATTTTGTAATATTTCTTCTGTTTTCCATGTGGGGCTGTCACGGTATGCTTGGCTTAGTTGTCAGCACCCTTGCACATGTAAACCAGAAGGTGCACAATTGTGGATTACATATTGAATCCCGATATGCAGATAATCTGCTGGAGATAGTGCTTTTCAATTTGCAATAGTAACAAAATTACTGGTAGTAGTGTTCGGTAGGAAGTGAAATTGCTGCCTGGTGCAGTTGTGCATAAGCAGCACTCTGCCAGTGTGCTGTACAGCTGAACTTGGAAGCCTACATCATCCTGAGGTAGTGGTCAGAGAAGGGACTTAATTACTTTATTAGTCA